GACCCGATACGTCAGAATGGCTGGCGTAGAGGACCTACCACATCTTCCACATTCTGATTGGCTTAAAAGAAAAGATTGAAGAATTTCGATTGGGTCGAACTAATTACAAATCGATAATTGGTCGATAATGAGCCCCCATGCCCCATACAAAAATTAAGTGAGGTCGGATAAGTGATTATATTCATCCATATGAGAGACGTATTGTCGCCGTGGTAGTTCTCGCAGTCGAAACATTTCTATAACTTTCTCTGGTGTCAACGTGTGTAGTTTTGACAGAACCAACAGAGTAACATTGTGAAGCCAGTTCTTAATCCAATTGTCCGTTGATACAGCAGCGTCGCGTTCTTCGTCTAGTCCACGGGTCTTGATCGTCTTGGACTTATTGCTTTCCGCCGCCCTCAGAAATCGCCCATCGAACCGTGTAGTAACCCTCTCGTTACGCAAACCCTCTCTCGAGACTCTTTTCGTGCCAGAAGCTGAAAAGGCTAATACGTCGCTGTTGATGATTAAAATAATGGCCACGCTGCCAACCAACAAGTCCGGAACACGCATGCACTCTCTAGACTTGTTACTGCAAGAGCCAGAATTGGAAAATGAGCATCGCCTTCGGAGATTGTTGGCAGTGCCAAATTGGCACTGCCAATCATGGCACGTGCTGCTCCGAGCAGTGCTCCCGGCTGGAATGGTTGTGCAACCGAACTTCTGTTTCTGTACGTTGAGCCCTTCGTCATGACTTGACATGGACACCATGTCCAGGCATGACGAAGAGCCCAACCTACAGCACTAAAAACCTGAAGTCTATTAGAATCACCATCCAAAAAATATGCTCTGCCTTTCCTTTACGTAATGTTTTTTAAATAGTTCTAGTGTGTGCGGAATGCGGTAATCGCACGGACAAATCCGCCAGATTGTGAAACATGCTTTTAATAGAAAGCTGTACGTGTAGCGAGCGGATGTGAGGAGCGTAGCCGAAGCAAAGCCGAACAGGGTGCCGCGAAGCAGGGCCGCTCGGTATTTGCGTGGGCGGGTACAGCGACGAGCTAACCAGTGAACAGCCCCGCAACACTCTCAAGAACAAACTTTCATCTGCCGCGGAGGTCTAGGAGTGCAACCCCGGTATGCTTTTAATAGTGGCTTTTATCCGGTTAACCGATTTCTCTATGTAATTCAACCGTTGATTCTATGGATTTGCTGTTTTATTCTACCGCTCTCCGAATTACGTCGTAATGCATGCACAGTTTCACAGTACCCGTTCTCCCTTTCTCGGCCTATTAGTTCTGTAGCCCAAACAGTCGTAACCCGTGAATAATCAATCACCCCACAGGTTTCGGTAAAGGCGTGTTGCCGCTCCAGATTGGCCACTTGATGTCCTGAACTAATAAATGCTGTTACTGTACATAGCGCAACATAGCAGCGGCTTGAAAACACAACAACGCTCTCCTTTCTCCGTCATGATAATGTTGTGCAGTTTGGAGGGTTGGATATCCGCTAAATTGTGTCCTCAACAATACCACAGAACGCGCACTCGCTGGAAGCTACGTGGCTAAGCTAGCCAAAAGCCGACCGTTGTTTTTTTTTTGTGATCCCAGCCTGGGAGTAGCAACCATTCTCTTCGAAAATAAAAACTTTCGAGATTTTTGACGATCTGCTTTGCGCTTTGCCTGTTGATTTTTCTTCAAGTATATTTACGAGTACAGACGACCTCTCTGCAGTTATAGCGCTGAGTGCCCCAATTTATGCCTGCCTAAGGCTATTCCTATCCTGAAAGCACCACAAAAATGGATCCGAGTACCATTAGCTTGGAGCAGTGCACAAAATTTAGTAATGGAGACGATTGGCGTAGCTTGTTATTGGCATTTTACTCCAGTTTTGACTCACCCAACCAAGATGCTCGTCTCTCCAGCCTGTCAGTCGGCTTCACACTCACTTACGCTCAACGTCTACAAATATACAAGCACAACTCGCAAAACCCAAATCTGCCCAAAAAAGGTTTCATGGGCTCACAGAATCTACGATCTCCCTCTGGTGGCATCACAAACAAAGGTCTCGAAGCTATTGGTGCGCAGAAAAACACTGCATTCACTTTCGGTCTCGCAGTTGGCCACAAAGTTGCCTATTGTTTTCACTTGGATCCTAAGTTGTAGTGGATGAAGTTTTAATGGATTTGATACGAAATACCGACTAATAGGTCATCAGTTGTTCACCTGCTAATCGAAACACTACCATGTATGTCTTCATATAGATTTAGCGTTTGTTGTAGCTTGATATACATACATATACATCGATACCTCTGCTGAGGCGTCATGGTTAACCTTAGCGTCTGCATGTTGACCCCGCTCACCTTCTCGTGAATACAGAATGGTAATATATAGCTAGACTAATGGTCAACTATCAATCATCACCGATACACTAGCTGGCGAACTGTTTGCAGCATCACGTCGCCCCATTTGCCTGCACTTTCACGCAGTTCATGTGCCGTCTCGGATGCCAAGGGGATTTCTCCATGACGAAGTTTAATCAGACACGATCGAGTCAGCACCACCACTTGCTCGCTCTCCAGCTGCCCAGCAGCGTTCAACTGATTACGCTGATGGGCCTTGACCGTCAACACGGCGGTGACGTCGTACCGAACTCGTTCTTTTGGTACATACGGAAACAATTCGTCCTTGTCTACAAAATCTGCTGTGAACAATCCAAACGCTCCTCCATCTCCAAACTCGTCATCATACTCTCTATACTCTGAGTACATGACGTTGTTCATCTCCATTTCCACTCCATTGGTCAACGAAGACACCAGTCGGTTCTGTGAAATGCCGTCACCGGCACTGTCGTCGTCCTCTCTGATCGTCACTCCTCCCAGAATGTCAGTCACCCATATCTCCATGTGGGTGAAATAGTGATAAAGTGCATCGTACACTTTCTTCACACTCGAAATCCCTTCGTACGGTGTGATATCGAACCGTAGCGCACAGTAGTCTCCATTCTGAGCCACGAATCTCGAATGTTCCGCGAATGGACTAATAGGATCTAGAAACCTCGTGCGTTCCACTATATAAATTTGGGAAGCCCTCAGTTTCCTCTCTTTCAACGCAGCTAACGTTTCTTTTCTCTCATCCAAATCGGTACCTAGATAAATCCACATCTCGAATGGAACATGTTGCTGCACACTCTACATAACAGAAAAAAAAACAATACAAATGGTTAGAAATTTGGGGATTGAGTAGATAAAAACCAATTAATCTCTACCACGTAGCCAGACAGAGCTGACTGGAGGTTAACCACCGACAATTGGTGGGTTTTTGACGCTCCAGCCACAAGTTCCTTGGACAGTTCTCGCTGCACACTATTGCGTTCCTGTTCGGCTTTTGCAGCGTCGAAAGCTGTTTGGCGCTTGAGTTGCTTCAATTGAGTTTGTAAAATGCTCAATTCTTGAAGTAAAACGGCCTTTTCCTCTTTACGCGCCAAGTATGTGGCCTTTTTGACACGTCGGGGTCTGGCGGGTCTTTTGTCGGAGGAGTCGGACTGGGTGCTCGGCGTGTCGGAGTTTTCCATCACGACGTCGTGGTCCTCCACACGGCAGGGGGACGAGACGTCCTTCGTGGGGCTCATATCGGGCTGAGTTGGAGGCGCCATGGCATAGGCAGGAGACTGAAGTAGTCAGAGCGCTGTGTCACCATTTGAGTGATTTGCTTTTTTTCTGTTTTAAGAGGTTTGGGTGAAATTACACACTTCTTAAACTTATAAAACAAAATGAAATATTAGAATATATAGCCAATCACTGCCGCTTAAAATGCTGCAAATTTCGGCTAATGAATGTGAGATGGTATGGCAAGTAACATGACAAAACGACCAGAAGGTCTGGGTAGTAGGGTCGTCCTACTCTACAAAATTCTATGCGAAAAGCGCTCTTCACCAAACTCGATGCGCATTTTCTAGCTACTACTGTGTGGTGTTTGATTTGAAGCTCCCGTCATTTTCTCTAACCGTGACATCTCCCAGCGTGTCCGTCACAACGAAGTGTATCTTTTAGTAACCTAGGTAGAAAAACTAATCCCTACGCCCAGGCAAAACTATCTAAAACTCGTACTACTAAAGATGAATGAAGAGATACTTAACAACTTTATCGCTGAACCTTTTTAACGTGTTGGAACAGTGAAGGAAGCGTACGACGTTGGAGTACTAGAAGTGTTACCATCTTCTCAAAGGGAATCGCAGCGCTTGGGTTTATCAAACAAACCAAATTCCAATGATCATCTGAAATCCTTCACGTCATGAAAAACACCTTTAGTCAGCTTTATTTTTTCCGTATGGAAGTTACTTTGAGTGGTAGACAAACTCTCGGACTGCATCGAGCTTGGCGTCGCTCCAACGGGTGCTTTTCTCTCTGAGTTCGCGAAGAATTTCAGTTGATAGCGGGAATTTGGTTTTGTGTGTCCTGCAATGAGCCCAGCGCTGCATCACAACAATTGGTCGTTCCTCTTCCGCCCCTTTGTCATTTCTGATTTTTTTTCACATGACATCGCACTTGTGTCACGACTGTGGCATCTTGACGAATCCGCTCTTCTGGGAAATACGGATACAGATCGTCCTGGTCCACAAAGTCTTCTGTGAAAATCCCCACTGGACCGCCAGCTCCGAATTCGTCATCAGCCTCTTTGAACTCGGAGCAAATGATAGTGTTCATTTCAAGCACCGGGCCGTTCGTCAAGTGTGACACAAAACGACACTGAGAAATCCCCGGCTCGGAGCTGCCGTCATCTTCTCTAATTGTAATATCGCCCAGGTTTTCTGTAACTCGGATTTCCATGTTGGAAAAATAGTGCTGCAACGCGTCGAACACGAGCTTGACAGAGCTGACGCCTTCAAATGGCACGACGTCGTAGATCTGGCCACAGGAGCAGCCGTCCCGATCTATGAAGCGCGTTGCGAACGAGAATACACTAGTATCATCTACAAAGCGCCCTCTTTCCTTCAAATAATGCTGCGCTGCCCGCAGTTTGATGGGCTTCATTTCCTTTAAAGTCTTCCATCGCACTTCAAAATCACTTCCAAGACGAATACTCGTCGCATGGGGAGCTCCAGGCTGCGTTGTCTATTGACAAACACTCTTAGTCCTGGTAAAAGTAGGAAATAAATTGTTATGCTGCACGTACAGTCAATCTGGACAGTGCGGACTGCACGTTTACCAGCGACGCTTGCTGTTGCAGCACAGCCTGGCGGATATAGTTCGACTCGCGCAGATTTTGCTCCAGTTTGGCCTCTTCGTTCTTTTGAAATGTATCAATTTTGGCTTGCAACTTTTCCACTTCCTTTCCAAGCTTTTCCATTTCCTCCTGTAATAATCGAAAGAGTGCATGTAACATCATACGTCAGTGTCCGATGCAGCGGTTTGTGCCATTGGATTGCACACACCTTGCGCCGAGTCCCAGTGGACTTACGCTTGCCTCTCGGGTTTAGCTTACCTCCATTTCTGCTTGCTGCGAAGCCGTTCGCTGCGGCCGTGGCCGTTCCTGCCTCGGCCAAAGTCATCGCTGAGCCAGGCTTAGTTTAACACCGTTGATCCAGAGTGATGGTGCAAGTGAACTGGACTGATTTTTCAATCACCCATAAAGCCCAGTCGTAAACATCGATAGTTAGCCAAGAAACAAATAACCCACCTCGTCGGAGGACATTTGGATGGAATCCTACAGTGTTCACGGGGGGAGATAACTTAGCTGCTCGCGCACTCTGCCGATTGTTATAATTTTATCTGCAACTGCAGATTAGAGTAGAGGGCGGACATGGTGAGTGTAAATAAGGCTTTCGCGACCGTAACTCGTGCGTTGCGACATAACATTTCACGTTGGGTCAACGTGTAATGCTCGAGTTAAGCTTAACGTACCGTTGACAACGCATGAATTTGCATACTGCGTCGAAAAACATGTATGCATCAGGCGACAACAATGATGATTGTGTTGAAGTAGTGACGTATTTGCATGACTCATATTATCGAGTGAGTGACGTTTGTGAGGTGCAAAAAACCTGTGGTGTAAAAATGCTCTTACCATTTAGAACAGCGTTTACGATTATACATGGCATCAGTGCTGTACTTAAAAATACTCAAACTTTTGATCAGCATTGCACCACACCAAGCTATTCACTGACAAGGTCTTTCAATCGACGTGAAGATTGAGCCACGCCGTGATCGTCTAATGCCTTCGCTGTCCGATCACTTGCAGGATTGCTGCTGGCCTAGGACAAATTCCCTGCACCGCAGGCAAATATCCAGTCGAATGAGTGTAAAGCTCCCTCGTTATCTTCATCTTAATTGAAGCAACGCTACCTACAACGTAGACACCACAAACCTGTTCATTTCTCATTCGCGTGTTACATTGCACACGACCAACATTCCGCTTCAACCGAACAAATTAACGAGTCCATTCCCTCTGTAAATCACCTCATTTTAGCGTAATTCCCTTCAGTTACGCGTGTGGAAAGTCGTCAGTTGGTAATTTTCCCATCGCAACTCAAGTGCCTGGAAACTATTCTTGCCATGCTCATGGAGGACCTTGACCAGCACTTGGACGGCATCACGCCGCTCTCGCCGCTCTCGCCGCTCTCCGCCTCGTCCCCAGACGACCTGCACGCGCCTCCGCCGAGTTTTCTGTCGGCAGCCGCCGCCACGACTCTCTCCAAGCCCGAGAAACCCAAGAAAAAGCGAAAGGCAACCTACGTGTTACGGAAAGAAGAGCAGTCGGCTTTACAGCAAGAAATCGAGCAATTGGAGAGCCAAGTTGCCGTTCTCAGGTCGCACACTCTGCCACCCGAAGAAGCCGCTAAGGCAGACCCCGTTTTGCAGCGCAGAGAGGCGGAGAACGCCGCGCTGACGAGCCTCTTGCGTCATCAGCAGTTGCATGTTGCCAATGCGCAGTCGCTGCTCTCGAGGTGTCTCGGAGACCAGCATACACACCCACTGTATACACGTATCCGGCTGACGAAAGACTGGTCGGAAAGAAGAGCGACGCTGCGCGCTATACGCGCCGAGAAATTGCGGAATGCCTACGAGTACATTCTGGCTCGAAGCAGCCACTCGCAGCCGGAGAAGATGCAGCTGTCCGACGAGAGATTCGAGTCATCGCAGGGCGATTTATGCTGCGTGAGGTTCGAAACCATCCACTTCCGAGGCGTTGAGTCGCTGGAGCAAGTATACAATGCGCTCATCTTCTACTTAACCAACATGGAGATCAGTATATCCGAAAGACTGGGACACATCACAGTGCGCGATGATTACGATTCCATCGAGGGCACGGCGTATAATTCTCGAATTGCATCCACTGAAGATTGCGGAGTCACCACGGAGATGAATGCCGTGTCGTTTCCGCAGCTTTTTGGCAAAGACGAACTGGGTTTTGGTGTCCCCGCCTGTGCCATTATGGCCAGCGACTGTGTGGATGAAGATGAGCTGTATCCATACAATTACGCAGAGAGAGTGAGGAAGGATGTTTCAGGGGCGGTATTACTTACCACGAGTAGGAGGAAAGCAAAGCACAGAGGAGACAAACGCATCGGAACGGCAACAATGATGGGTGGAGACGACACTGAGTTGGTTGTGACGATGCGCCGGGCCGCGTTTGTGAAACTTCATAAGCCTAAATTTCCAATATCGCCGTTCGCTCTGCAGGAGCTGCACGAGGGGATTGCACGCTGGGGCGACGTCATGCTTAAGACTGTCCGCAGTGTCATATATGCAACTCCGTAGCAGCAAGTAAAGCAAGAACATGTATTATTGGATATTTCGTTTGCGGAAATTGCGTTGCTGTTGCCGATGAGAATGTGGTGCTGAGCCTAATTGATGGTTTGGGTTTTATCGCTTTTAAGTTAAGTACCGGCCAGAAAGTCGGAATTGTTAGAGGAATTGTACAACAATCGGGAGACAGCGACCATAATCCAACACTATTGCTCACACGTCTTCCGGTTGATCCGGTCTAACAATCATATTCTTGGGTAACGAGTCTCAGAATGCCCAAAAGATCCGACTAACTTGCCTTGCACGTAAGAGATGACGTTCAGCTAGCAAACACCAATTTGAGAGTTTTTTATTTTAAATCGTCTCTTCTAAAGCCGTTGGAGTTTCGAGAAGTGCGCAAGTTGATTTTTTCAAGAGTGCTATAGGCTCTTGGGTGCGTCGACCAGCGTGATTGCCCCAACTTTATTTGTCATGATACGAGTGCGGAAGACCTTATGCCTTCCTACATCGGAACTGCAATGTATAAGTCGCTTCAATAAGAAACTTAAAAAATATAGAAATTATGGAGCAAGTGTCAAATGACAGTTTTAACTAAGAGTCGCAATGGAGTGACGAGAATAAGCAGGATGCAGGTATTCTCACTAGTTTAAGACCATCAAGTTCACGTACAACGTATTAATCGAACCGTGGAATTTGAAGATCCATTCTCACTGATTGCTGTCAACAGTTAAGCGAGTCGATATCTTCTGTTGAATGCTAAAATAAAAGTATCGCTCACGTCCTAATCGCAGTAAGTGCACGAATGGCATTGCGGTCGATTTGTCGAGATATTTCTCCGATCTTCGTAAGTGGAAACCAGCTTAAATGTTATATTGGTGCGGGGAGGAGTTTGATGACTCGAGCGGGTTTAAATGCAACCTGATTGTCGACATCTGAGGAACTAAATCTGGAGAAATCATGCACCCACCGAATCGGTCACGATTGGATTAAGTAAGACGGTTTCTCGACTTTGGAAACAAGCGTGTACGATTTCGAGATAATATTGTAGTGGAATACTTAAGTAGACACTAATCTCATATTACCATAACATGGATTTCTTGGCATTCGTGCTTTAAAACAAAAGTACGACTTCAAGTTTCATGCTGTTTATGGATTTCACGTTAACAACAACCAGCATATAAGTGTGTAGCCAGCAGCGATGTACAACGTTCTCAAGTTAGACTAGTGTTTACCTCTCCAATGTTTTTCCGATTAATTATTCTCCCTGACCTAATACGAAGTGTTGCGAATTGAGTTTCTGAGACGATTGAGTTACAAGTTCACTGCAATGATCTTCACCAACTCAGTTTCTGCAATCACAGGGCCATAACGCTAGGCCGAGAATTATTACTGTACTCTAGTTGGTAAGTCAACACAACAAGATATTTCAAAACGTGAAAAAAAAAAGCATTAAAAAAATTTGGAATGAAAGGATCCTTTAAGTATCACGCGTACACAATAAAGACCCCGAAAAAGACCACTAGTAAGAACTCGCCAGCTATAACGTCCCGTTAGATCACCCGGGAATCTCTTGACGGAGCCCACGCGGCACGCGCAAGCCATAGAGGCACATCAACTGATTGCACACGGAGTAACGCGGGTTGGCTCAGCTGGTACGGGAGATTAAGAACTTGAAAAGATGATCTTTCATTTCTAATTGGATGAGAAGGTGGTCTGAATTTACAGGAAATGATTGCTCTCGGCTTACTGTATCAGCGACTTGAAGTGAACGGTTCCTCTGGTAATAATCAGCGAGTAATCACTAAATTCCGCAGTGAAACGACTCAAAAGCAATTGTTTTCCTTAATCTCCAGACACATCATTTGTTTTAAGAAGTGATTACTATATAGCATTTGTGTAGCCGGACAATTTGTTCAAGCGGACACTCGTAATAGCCAATCACAAACGCGAAATGTACAGAGAAAAACCTTGTTACAATGACACCATTGATCATTTCTTCAAGCGGACAGGACTATTTTTAACCTATTTTTGATTGGGCTATGTACATTTCGCAGCTCTTTGTTGTGTAGCCATAATTAGGCAGAACGCAATGACGCGCGGCCGCAAGCGTGCGCCCGGAGGGCGAGGACGCCAGCCAAGTAGCTACCAGAGAGAGGTCGACTCGTACGCAAAGCGGTTAGAGGTGATCACCTTTCACGACACGAACGGAATGCCCGCCACGTTAGACAAGTTTTACGACCATCTATCAGCAAAAAAGCAAGAAAACAAACGCAAAAGAATTTACGAGTGGATTAAAGATCGATCTCGTAT